GCTCACGGTTTGGGAGAATTCAGTCCATAGTCGTCTGAGCCCAAGGGAGGCACACCATGGTGGAAAGGCATGATGACGCTCAGTCAAGGGCTGGCCCAGAAGCCACGCGTGAAAGGTGGAGGAGGAGCCAGGGCAAGACCACACCCTTCCAAGCCATGCCCAGGGACCTCTTGCTTCTTTCCAGGCTTAACCTCTCGATACTAGATTTATGGGCTCTATTTTAAATCTAAAGCCCACCACCTGCCTTTTCTTTCCTCTCATAATTCTTCAAACACTACTTTGTTGCCTATTTCCACTTCATCAGCAGTCAGACCTTGGCCTGATACTATCTAGCTTCTTTTCCCTAATCAAACCACAAAAATTAAACTCCAAGAAATACCCTGGACTTGTTAAGAAGAGAATCCAACAGTTTTCTCTCATTCCTCATTCTTCTTCTCTTTCTGTGAAATATAACATGGCTGATTACTTTATGAAAAAACCCTTTTCCTCTCCTTGGTCTACTGATGAAACACTGAAGTTTTAAGTTTTTCTGGAATAGCTTCTTGTTTCTTCTATTGCTTTTTCTTCCCACATCTTAAAAGTAAATGTTCCTAAAATTTCTATCTTTAGAGTCCTTTCAGGCCTATTATTACTATGACTACTAATCCCGACACACAGCTCAGAGTTCTATCAAGAGCCCCAGATCTTTTCTTTCTTGAGACAGGGTAGCCCTGAGCTCACTCTGTAGCACAGGCCAAGTTTGCACCAATCCCCCTGCTTCAGCCTCCCACGCTTGCCAAGCCTCAGACTTTTGAGTCCTGAATTATGAACTAGATGCCCTAGTGCTTAATCAGAACCTCACAGTCCACACACACCTAAGCTTCAAATCACATCTCTTGCTTCCAAAACCAGTCTGTCTTCCTGTTTGCATGCATGTCAGTTACCCAGATTTTGCCCCCAGAATTCTCCCTGAGTTTTACTTCTTCCTTTTTCCTTTAGTCCTACTTAGATAAGCAAATAACATAAACCTTGCCACTTCTTTTCTTAGGTCATGACATTAGTTTTACCCTACATTTCTGTAAATACCCAAGTAAAAGTCTCCAATTCAGTTCACAGAGTCGATGTACTGGTGCCGGCTAAGTTTCTTACTGCTTTCATCATTGTACAGCTCCGAGGTATGAGAGGTGCTTCACCACCTGCCCGTGCGAGCAGGCTTCCCAGCTGAGCCTCCTCTGCTCTGGTCTTGGCCACCTTCACCCCTTGCGCTAGTCTGCACTTTCCCTACCAGCAGCCACACCTCAGTCCTTAAGGACGCGACCTTCCTCACACGGCCCCTGGCTGGGTTCCAAGGCATCCAGGCCTTCCACTTCACTGGCCACCACTTTTATCTTTTCCAGATTTTTCCTTATTTCTTCAAACTTGAAACATTAAAGATTCTCCAAGTCTACTCAACCTCTTTTCTTTCTATATTCCCTTCCTAGAAATGCCACACATATGCCAGTGGCACACAGTTTTGTATCTCTGGCTCATCTCGCTCCCCAGAATTTGAGCCTCAATATCCACGCAGAGCCTGCTCAGTCTCTCCATATGCATGTCACACTAGCATCCCAACTTAACACACCGACGCAGAATCCCATTTCCTTTTGCATGTTTCCCTCTCAGTAAATGGCAGCTCCAGCAGTTCAGTTGTTTAGGCCAAACCCCTAGCACCCTCTTTTATTCTTTTCTCTGATCCCTTCTTTGGCAGCCCAGTCCGCCTCCAGCACAGATCATGGCTGTCACAGAGCCTACTGGCTCTATTTCACAGTGTACAAACGCCAGCCACAGCTCGCTTCACTGCTGCCATTTCCACTTCTGGTCAACCTAGCTCCCACTGCACTACTGGGGAAAAAACCCTCCTGAGACTTTACCACTTTCCGTGTGTGTGTGTGTGTGTGTGTGTGTGTGTGTCCAGTTCAGCTCACTCTGGAGGCTGGGCTGGCGTAGTCCCTGCACACTTGCCTAAGCAGGCGCTTTAGACCGCTGAGCTATCTTGCCAGTCCCGTCCTTGTCCTTTCTGTCTAGTCTCAAAACAACGAAGAACTCCTGTCTGTCGAAACGAAGACAAATTCTATCACTGCTGTTCTCAAACTACTCTAGTGGCTTCCCTGCACACTCAAGGATCAAAGCCTCAGTCTTCCCCACGGCTCTCAGGCCTTGCTGATCCACTGCCCACCTGTCCCTGCCCCTTCCTCTGCTGCAGACACTGCCTACTTGCTCCCTCCAGTGTGTCTACTCCTCTAAGGTCACTTCTGTCCCATCAGATACAGCATGCACTCTTCCCTGTTATTTCTTCTGTATAAGTGGCCATTCTTCCTTTATCAGACATTTTCATAAATTTCTGTGTCATTTCTTGCATTTTTAATCATACATAATTTTTATGGTGAGAATTTCTCTGCCCACATTAAAATTTTTACCTGCTTCTCCAGATCAGCTTTCCCTGTAGCCCTTACAGTTAGCTCTCACCACTATGAAGACAGTGAAAACTATCCCCAAAGCAAGCACTTTCCAACATTTATTCTGTGGCCTGACTTGTACATCCGCTGGAAGACTCTGCTCATCAAGGGTGGGTGGCCCTGCTGCTCACTGCAGCCCTGAGTGTTGGGCGGGACACCTCTGCTTCATGTGTTCATTCTGGGCTTTGGCCAGTACCAACGGAAGAGACACAGAAGTGCTGGCACAAACACACACAGCTCTAAACTTAAGATTTGTGACACACTCAAATTTCCATCACTGTCTACTGGCCAACTGACACAAGGCAGGAAATTGTGTTTCATCTCTTTTGGTGGAAGGAATTAAAAATTAACATGAAAAAGGCACACAGGAAGGAGTTAAGAATTGGGGCCAGTGACACATTCTGCTACATCATTCAGTATCACTTGATAGCCCATGTATTTACTCCTTTATTTTTTGCTACCTCTTTAAATATACCATGAGGGTAGGGCTGTTTCAGGCAGGCGCTTATTCTACGGAGCGTTCTCCCTGACCCGGTAGGGCTATTGCCTTCACTACTTGATCCTCAGTGATTAGAACTGAGCAGGTACTTGATTAAATACAGTGGACACTTGATTAAATAAATATGTTGCATGGACAAAGCCACCATTCGTGCACTGTCAGTGTGGCTACTCCACAGCAGGAGTTATACTAGATGGCAAGATCCAAAAGTGATAAGGGCTGTGGGGTGTCCTCAAGCCACAATTAGTAGTCCAGTGAGGATGGACAGCAAGTTATAATAGTAACCGCGAAGAACTACTGAACGCTGCATTTGAGGCGCCGCTCAACCTTGTAGGGTGGTTATTACTTTTATCCCAGTTTCACAGAGGAGGCACACAGAAGCTACATAAACGCTGGGGCCAAGCTCCAAATGCAAGGGCCAGGTTCCGGACCAATATGCTGCACCACCTCACCAGGACCGGTGCCGTCTCAGACGCCGCAGTGCTCTGGACATGAACAAGTAGACTAACAAGCCGAGGAGGAGGCTGAGAACAGGAGGAGGGCAGCTAAGGAGGACGGGCCTTGACTCCTCCTGCAAACGTTAAGTGTTGCAATCAGGATCGCACCTATTTCACCAAACCTACAAGCACTAATAATGTATACCCGGACTCCAAAATGTGTGGGAAATGGCCAGAGACAACGGTAGGATGCCACCGATTACAAGAGTACACCGAAATGTTACAAATCATAAGTGACCGAAACAAGCGTGCAGCTTTACGCCTGCCATCTTTACATTATGCGTGCACGTGCGCACACACACACACACACACACACACACACACCCCTGCTAACGTATATGCTAACGTAGTTTTTCTTTTTTAGATTTGGTTTAATATTCAACAGTATGATTCTCCACTAAGGATAAATTTTGATGTCACCAAGCCCAAGCTATGGAAATCATTTTTCTCAAGAAGCCTTCCATATCCAGGCCTGTCCAGTGTTCAGGTATAATTCTTTTGCTAACAATTAAATACAAGGAGAGTAAAGGATAGGAAATCACCACAGAAGTAACTAGGTATCTGCTGGCCATCAAGTCTATTCCTTGCTTAGAACAGTATGTTTTCCAAACTTACTTGAGCTGAGCTTATACTAAAAAACGTGTTTGCCTAGAATATTATATATGAAAGAAAAAGGGTTTATGTAAAAAGTCACCTGACACACAAAGAACCACAAAATATATTCTATTTATTTAAATTCTGCTCTCAACCAATAAATTGATTTCAAAACTACTAACACTTGAATGAAACTATTCCAGTCCACTAGGCCTCATTAAGTTACCAGTCCTGAGCAGTGGCTTGCCATTAGTAAGCAATGGCACTGCTTACTGAGAGGCTCTGTTTCATCTAGAGAAAAGTAGGTCTTACTGGGTTTGTAGTTTATTTTTTCACTGCAGCACAGCCATTCGAAAAACACTGTCCTAGAGCCTTTATCCGTATGTGAAGAGACATATGTAAGATTTTTATTAGAACATGGTTTGAAATAGCGTAAGACTCAGAATGATAGATTATAATATATACTGGAACATTTAGTGATTAAGTGAATCAACGCTAATAAACCTTAGCACTCTAAAGCTGTGCTTGCTATTAGCCCTTGTGTAATGTTTGGAGAACAAGCCAAGTTGCACATTCGTGACATGACTAAAACTCAGAAAACCACCCACGGTGAGGAACGCACGTATCCGTGGCAAAATCTTAAGACCCAGGTGAACTTGTCTGTCACCCGTAGTGCAGCACGAGCCTGTGGCGGCTCGCTGTTCGTGGTAACAGCCCATCGCCACCCCTGTGAAGGTGCCTGGCAGCGATGCCCGCCTGAGCGCTGAAGGAAGGAATGTTACGGACAAATGCAGGTCACGGCTATTGCTGTGATGCAAGAGAAAAGGAAACTGAGAAAGAACTACAAAGCACTGTAACTGATCTGTGCTGACTTATTTATGGTGGGTCCGAGGTGCACTAGCATCTTTATTCTCTGTATCTTATTAAATATCTGAAATTTCATTATTACAAAATTAAAGTACACCTCTTCAAATTAAGTGATGTTTAACATTTCTAGCATTTTGAATTTATGATCTCTTTTATAGCCTGAAGAACTAATTTACCAACGCACAGATAAAGCAGCTGCAGCTGAGCTACAAGACAGGTACTATCTTATCCGTAAATCCACAAGTAATCTCTCCCTGAAGTACAATACTGAACTTTACACAGCTGTCAGCCTGGATCTGTAAGAAACAATTAGTGCAGTTATATCCACAGATACAGGCACCAAGTACAGACGCGCTCTCCAAATCTCCTGGCTCAGACCCATGCATTACCAGCAGCGTGGTGTGAGACGGAGGTGAACTCTAATAAAATATGCAGTTCTCCAAGGACTCTGCCTCAGATTAGAGCTTAACATGTTATTATAGAACTTTTTGAGGCACATCAAAATCCTCAGCTTAAATATGTTCCTCTTGTCCAATTAGTGGTTTATAAAAGTTTAGCTAGTGTATGAACCTAACCCAAAGAGAAGGCTAGTATTAAAAGCCTCAGTCCCTAGAATTCCACTCACACGGAAATCCAACTTACTCTCCCAGGTTCACAAATGTGGAGAACAGCGTTCAAAGTGGTCCACATACTTATTAAATGTTAGAGGGGTAAGCCCCGCCGGATCTTTCCAACCTGTTTGCCATTTCCATTGGACCAAGCTATGTGAAGACAACTATGTCAAATGGTACATTATACTGATACAGGACTCCTTTTAGACTTGCTCTTAATTTCTCCAGGAAATTTTATTTGAGATCCTCACATAGAAAACTTATCTCCACTTACTGTATTTCTTCTAAGACCTTAGACATGCTATCAGTTGAGCTATTTCTCCAGTATTAAAGTGTCTGGCAACTCAGCCATACTTCCTTGCTCAGGCCACCCTGAAACCAAAGGATACAAGTTCCTTGGCTAAAAAGGGGCCCTACCACAACTGAGCAATGGGAAGCTGGCCAGAACTCTACCTGTACATGCGGGTAGCAGGTGGACAAGCAGCTTTAGAATGAGCACTTCCAATGTGCACACCATCTCTCTTCCTGAGTGAAATCACTTTTCTCAAACTGTCCTCATCTGTAAACGCAGGACATTATCTCCTACCACGGGGGTTACTGTAAAGATTCAACAAAAATGTATAAAAAGCATTTAGCTCAATTCCCACTAAACAGCTTAGGCAATGCTAACTATAATACATCATTCAGTATGTAAGCTTTATATCCTATGAATTTAATATTGATATATATTAACAACTAAGTTACAACAATGGTGTTTTAAAGGTAGTTTTAAGGCAATTTAGGAAAGAATCCTACCATCATGAATCAAAGTCACTGGGAGAAGTTGGTATGTTGTAAGAACCCTACACAGATTTGAGGATTTCAACATAAACCCTATTTCTTTATAGTCGATATGTTACCAAATGAAGTGATGAATTCCTTAATGGCAATCAAAACTGTCTCGCGAGGCGTGCTGAATCGCGCGCCCAGTCGTTCACTGCTCCCTTGCCCTTTCCTGTGTTACTTTCCAGCATCGCTTGCAGCTGCTCCCTTTCCCTTTCCCTTTCCTGTGTTAAACTTTCCAGCATCGCTTGCGGCCCTTAGGATGACATGTACTTTGCAAGTGCACACCTATGTCACTTCCCAAGCCCATGAACAATCCCTAACCACCTGTGCTGGCTTTTGAATCCCCAGGGACTGGCCCACATGTATTGCTAACCACCTGATAAATAATACCAACATAAATTTTTTTAACAAGGGAAAAGTCAAATCACCAAGTAATGTTTATTTTTTGTGAACAGAATTGAAAAAATGCTAAAAGAAAAAATCATGGACTGGAGACCACGCCATCTGACCCGGTGGAACAGGCACTGTACCTCTACTCTGCGCCACTTCCTGCCTCTGCTCGAAAGAAGCCACGGAGAAGATGTGGAAGATGACCACAGAGCAGAGCTGCAGAGACAGCTCGGAGACTACCGCGTAAGCACGACTCCCAGGCCGGCCTGGGCACTGCTTCCCTTCAAACTAGAAATTACCAAATTTTGCAACCAACATACTTACGCTGTCACTTTAAGTACAGGAAAGAAGCACTATTAACAGTATTTTAAAAAGTTCTAAACTTCTAATTAACCTAAATGGCAAAATGTCTCAATAAAGCATAAACACTATTTTTAATAGGATCCTAAGAAAAATGATACTTTTATGAAATATACAGCATGTATTAAATAAAATGAAAACATCTGGCTAAATTATATTAGACAACTGTGGGTGACAGCGAAGAGTCTAGATCAGGTGTTCTAAGGATATGGTTTTGCACTGTGCTTTTCACTGCCAAGAAAAATTCTCCTTCATAAACAATACCCTCTCCACTACCTGTTGGTAGGGCTGTGCTCTCATCCTGTAGCTGAAAAAACCTAGAAAACAATGCCATACCTGAGATAATGACAGCAAAACAGGTGACAGCCAGAATAATTAGACCCTGAGAATGTTTTCAGTTCAAGCTACTGAAAACGTACAGGCTCAAGCAGCGGGAAGCGCACTGGTCTGCCTCACTGGCGCTGGCAGTGAGTGGCTCTCGGCCTCTTGCTTCTCGGCTTTCTTCCCTGCTCTCTCGTGGGAAAGCACCACCGTCAGGCTGCCTGCTCCCAGAAGCAAATGCTCAAACAGGCTAAGGACACACATCTGCACATGCGCGCCCAAAGTAGGCAACAGCATCCGTGTTTCCTGAGACGCGGGTGGATCCAGCGCCCACCGTGGATTAACTTTCACTGCCAGAGGTGGAATGTAACTGTGAGCCTAACCGAGGCTGTGTGGTGACGCACACTGGGCATCGTAAGAAAGTGGAGGCAGGGGCGACCAGTGGGTGTCTTACACACAAGCTCGTGGGCAACCAGAAGTTAGTGATCTCTCCCCATCTTCCATGTTACTATATCGCTGGCAAGAAACAGAACTAAATGAGCTGGGGATCTGCAAGACTTAAATAAGAAGTCCACACGTTCTGTAAAGACGCACTGACACCCTCATGGGCGACTGCTGTGTTTTCTCCACAGTTCTCTGGATTTCCCCTTCATCTGTCCTACTCTGAAGTGAAGCCTTTAATTGAAGCTGTGTACAGCACGGGAGTACACAACATCGACGTGCCTAACGCTGAATTTGCTCTAGCTGTATATATCCACCCATACCCTAAAAATGTTTTGTCTGTCTGGATCTATGTGGCTTCCCTCATACGCAATAGGTAATTTTTTTCACTGTGCTTTTTGTATCATGTAAAACTATAATTAGCATCTGAGAATTTTTTAAATTATAATGATCGCACTAGAAGTATTATTTTTTAAATAATGAAATAAAATTAATCTATTTTTAAAAACTGTTATTTATGTATCTTACTAGGTACAGGGTCTCACTACACAATGGTGCAGACTCATAGTGATCCTCCTGTTTTCAGCCTCCCCAGCACTGGGATTATGGGTGTGCACCACTATGCCTAGACTCGGTCACTGGATCAGTGCACCCAGGGGTAGGGCCAGTGTGGCATGTGGTGCTAGGGATTGAACAAACCCTGGTCCCTGCGATTTCCTAAGCAGGTGCTTAGTCCTCCCTGGCCCTGATCTATTTAGAGATAGGGTCTCACTATGTAGTTCAGCCTAGGCTTGAACTCAGTAGGTAGACCAGGCTGGCCTTGAACTCACAGCAATCCTCCTGCCTCAGCCAGCTATGTGCTGGGATTACAGATGTGCACCACCACACTGGGTTCAATGGTGTTTTTATTAACAGTCTGTCTTTGTCATTCCTGAGTTCAAATGAGACTGCTCACAGTAGGGTAACAATGAGTCAGACATCTAGCCTATACACACCTTTGTATTTGTTTATCTTCTGTTTAGGACACCCTTCTCCTTTGCCTATCCAGCAGACAACCAATTATAAAACAACACATCTCAGCTCTTCTAGGGAAAGACTGATTTTGCAGTATCAATTTTTTTTTTCAATTACTGAGCAGTTCATTACCCTACACAACTACGCAAGTGCGCGCACACACATGCAGGAAGACAATTATTTGAGGGTACTTTTTTCAAAAAAGGCTTAGACACCCTGAGTATCAGTAACCTGCCTCCCAACTGATGTCAAAACCCTAATCCCCAATATGACAGTACTGAGGGGATGCTCGAGATGGCCCCTGTGGCAGCCTGGATTCCCTGAAGGGATGGGGAAGAGTTCGCTGCCATCCTTCCTTCCTTCCTCTCTTCCCCCTCCTGCCCTATGCAGGGCAACAAGATGCTATCTGCATGCGAAGACGACCCTTATCAGACCTAACAGAAGCCAGCAGGTCCAGGGCTTACCCTGGACTTTCAGGCCTTCAGAACTGGTAGAAATACATGCTTCTTGTGGGAGCCAGTCTACACTCTGTTATAGCAATTCAAATAAAGACAAACACATTCATATTATGCTAAGCCATTAAAAAGAATTAAATGTACACATTTATCTGGAAAGACAGACTGTACACAAAACAGATTTAATGCAAGAGGTCATCTTTTCTCAACAGTGTTACTCACGTTCAGGGCCAAGTAATCATTTCTTGCCAAACGTTTTCCTAACAATTTTAAAGATGCTTACCAGGTAAGCATGCTAAGGGGATCAAGAGACACAGGCACAGAGGAAGTAAGATCAAGAAGTGACATGTAATCCAGGTGTGCGGAGGCTGAGGGAGGGCTGCCTGGGCTACAAAGTGAATTCAACACCGGCCTGAACTGGAGGGTGAATCCTTATATCAGAAAAAGAAAAAAAGAAAAAGAAAGTGATACATGTATTTCCAATTCCCCAGGATGAATACATTATATATTACAAACATGTATTAATAAATCTCTTCAGGTGTTTACCAGCATCTCTAGCCAGTACTCACAAAGATGTCAGTTGCACCTTCTCTTCAGCCAAGTGTAATTACAAAAAATTCTCCGGATGTTGCTGTCTCCATGTCCTCAAGAGATTGAACAGTTTGGCTGACAACTACCGATGTAGGCCTCATTTTAAAAGCAAAATAAAACCGAGAACCAAGGAGCAACTCCCACCTTCGCTTCTCTCTTACACATTCCTCCACCCCGTCACACTGCAGTCACGCGTGGCACGCCTCTGCTACTCTCCAAGGGCGTTCCGTGACTGACCCAGAACAGTTACCAAAATAGTGACACAGCGATGAATCCTACTGCTGCCACTTAGCAGCCAGGTAGTCCACAGGGTAGTGAGCTGCTACACACACTCCCCTAGGGAAGTGGGATGCTCCCGGCACCGTGGAGAGGCTGAACCGGTCAGTACACGCAGAGCTGCTAGCCTCCCTGCGCTGAGCACCTAATGTTTGTCAGGCACCGCAACACAATTTGTTTAACAGTCACATTTTACTTTCTGAAGGAAGTTGCAAAGCTCAAGATAAATTTAAACCAAGTATATAGTATTTTAGTACACATTAACTGTCCCTTTAAGATAATAATGAAATCCAGGACAATGTATAAAACTTAAATGCAGATTATGCCATGACTGATGTAATCAAACACGGGGCAGGAAGGGGTGGTAGAAAAACTGTGAGTTTCAACATGACAACATGCCGACGTATTTAACCAGTTTGGTTCAAGTGTGCGAAAATTATTTGCTAACATCAAGAGGAATAAACAGAGAAAAAAAAAAAAAAAAAAAAGCAGTACCTCAGTCTCCTAGAATGCCTGGGGAAACTGCCTGAAGTTGATTCTTTTTTCCAGGGCAAGATGCAGGCCATGTTCTGAAACAACACTTTATCATGACCTTTTTCTCATAAAGATCATCTAAAAATTTACCTCAAAAAACTGCGCTGATTTCATGAGAGAAAAACCTTCATCTTCCTTTGGTGACTTGGTCATTCTGGCTGGGCGGTCTCACCCTAGTTCATGTTAACAAAAGGTGAGGTACAGTGTAGGGGGAGGCTCGGGCACAGGAATTCCAATGGCCGTTTCTCCTAACAATTCCTGCTGTCCCTTTATTAAACACCTACGGAAATACACAGTAACTCGGAAACAGCCAACCTTACAAAACAAAACTCTTGATTTGATTTGCTAAGCTCAGATTTCCTTTCACATTCTCAAGAATGTTTTCATTTGTGCTGCTGAGGGTCAGACCCAGGGTGTGATGCACACTAGGCGAGTGCTCTCCCACTGGTAGGTCCTGAAATGATTTTACTCTTGATAGAGGGAGCTAGTTTCAGGAGACAAGGTGTAGTGGTGACACAAAAGGCATGATGCTTAAGTTTAACAGGTAAAAACCTCAAAAGGTAAGATATAGGGCTGGTCAAATAGCTCAGCGGGTTAAAACACCTTGCAAGCCCAGGAGCTGGGGATTTGATCCCCAAGCCTGCTGTGCTGGCCCCAAGCCCGGGGCACGCTGAGGCTGAGACGGCAACTGAGACTGGGCGCCTGGGAGTGGTGGCACAAGCCTATAATCCCAGCTCTTCGGAGACTGTAAACTAGTAGATCACTCCAGTACGATCTAGTAGGGAGACCCTGAACACCCTGCAGACCCTTCCCTAAACACACACACAAAAAAGGTAAGATATGCTTGTACAGCTCCCCTGCCAAATTAACTTCAAAGAAATCAAATGGAGAGAATCCTTAGTTACAGAAGAGCACCACTGGACATCGTCCTGTTAGTCGCTTATCCCTTGTGTCTAGTTCAAATGTTACACTAAAAAGCATCCCTGCCAGGTGTGGTGGCTGAAGTCTGGAATCCCAGGGGCTCTGGAAAGGCCCGAGTGCCAGGCCAGCAGCAGCAGCATGCAACGAGCCCGTCCTCAGCTGAGTCTTCTGCAGGGAATCGGATGCACCTTCAAGCAGCACTGTGACATGAAGAAGTCAGATGTGTGCGCCTACACACCGCATGGTGCATGGCTTCCCTCATGTGAGAAACCCAGTGCAATATGCAAGTTGAAGAACAAAATAAACAGTAACCAAAAAAAGGGAGAAATAGAAACAAGAAGGAGAGCGAGAGAACAAAGCAGGGGAAAAGTGGTAGGGAAGGAAACGCAGAAAGAATTAAGATTACATGTACAAATACCCATAATGAAAATAGGCACTACGAACCACAAACGTGTTGTAACAAATAAAATATTTAAAGCCAGGACACAGCTCAATGGCAGAACGCTTGACAAACATGCATGAGGCCCTTGGGTCAATCTTCTGTAGCATGAAAACATTTTAAGGCACCCATAAACTTTCCCTTTGTCTTCACACAGCACTGCCTGCAAGCCTTCTCTCAGCCTAAACTGCAGGCTGCCTCCCGCAGTTCCCCTCTCCTTGTGTCCCACAAGCACCCAGCTGGGGCCTCAAGGAACCTTGCTGCAGGACTACTTCCTCTTCTCCAGCTTCCAAGTATTTAAAACAAAAGGCACCGCACTATTTTCCTCTTCCCAGTATAAAACTATATGCGGTGTGACAGAAAGCCCAAGATGTCCCTTTCTGAATGGTAGACCTCATGCTTATGACCTTATCTCGAAATGAAGATAAACAAAATCTTGGCTACTGAATAACTATTTTCAAAAAGAAAATTCAGCTCACTAATACTCATCTGTGTAAAACTGTTTACCGGTCAAGTCACCAACGCTCAAAAGCCAGTATTCAGTTCGATTTATAATGAAATCACAACACAAAAGATATTACTTGGTAAAGTCCTCAAAGTAGATTTTATTTATACATTTCTTCAAATGACTGTGGAATTATTAAAAATCCCTCTCAAATCAGACAATTTAGGGGCAGTGGTAGGTCCAGGGATTTTGGACAAGAGCAAATATAAATAAACTGGTGCCCTGCTAGCTCACTGAGCTAACACCACAAAGCCAATTATTCCGTAACTCAAAGAATCTTATATGTGGGTGTGCTTGAATTGGCTCCCTTGTAATTTTTCAAAAAAAAAAAAAAAGTTATGGAAAAGAGATTAGTTTCCAACATGTGCAGTCTTTAAAAATGTATGTCTGAAATGATCTGCAAAGTTGGGTACAGTGTTTATACATAACAAGAACCAATAACCCCCAAAGACTTTTTCAAAACTCAATATAACCTAAATCATGCTTTAAGTGGCACTGCGTTAGTGACATCTATTGAGATGGGGTCTCACTATGCAGTTCAGGTTGGCCTCAAACTCAGTGCTCCTCCTGCCTCTGCCTCCCAAGTGCTGGGATCACAGGTATGTACCACCATCCCCAATGAAGGACATTCCTTTTGAAGCATTTTGTTTAAGAGAAACCCAGTAAGACTGTTCTCACCCCTACCAAAAAACCTAATATCATTCTAAAACAAAAGTGTGTTTTGCATAAGAAACAACACTGTACAATTCACTGGTAGATTAAGAATTCTGAGGTTGTAAGAAATGGGGCCAAAACAAGACACACTCAAAAAGGGATGTTAACACAAGAAATGTGCTGTAAGTAAAGTGCATGAAAGGAAGCCTGCTCAGCTAAATGAAGTAGACAAAGGTCAGAAGTCAAGAGTCATTCACCAGATCGGCAGCAGGCTCGAAAACCACACTGCAAATTCTGGCATCCGCTGGCGGTTTCAGCATGAGGACCTGTATGAAAAGAGAAAAGTGTGAATGGAGGAATTTCTTAACAATCTCATAAAAACAATTTTGCTCATGAAGGAGCTAAAAATTGTATTTGCTCTCCTAGTAGTATGCTTATTTCACAGAAGCAGACTCCTACAATGAGTATGTGTAAAATTCTTCAGAAAGAAACTGCCAATAACACTTCGACATTAACAAATGTTTTTCATGGTCCAAAAAATAATGGAAGAGGAGAAAAGAATTAATTTTGGACACTAATTTTACAAAATAAATACCGAGAAAAGGAACAATCTGCAGAAGCAGGACTGCCTGGTTAACAACAGATACCTAGGAATGTAATTAAGGGAAAAACAAAACATCAGAAAATACACAATAGATCAGCTAAATCATTCATTACTGAGTAATTACAATAAATACGATGTATAAAGCTTACAATACAGTATACAGACACAGACTCAGCATGTTTGCCATATTTTTAACTTTTATTTTATTTGGTACAGGGTCCTGCTATGCAGTTCAGACTTGTAGTGATTCTCCTGTCTTAGCACCCCCAGCACTGGGATTACAACAGGTGCACCACCATGCCCAGTTTCGGTGGCCAGCTCGGCGTGGGGCCGGCACAGCTCTTGGTACCAGGGATCAAACCCTGGTCCTTACACTCGCCAGGCAGGTGCTTAGAACACCGAGCTATCTCCCTGGCCATTTGCTATATTTTTAATTTTAATTTATAGCTAGGAAAATAGCATATGGTAAGGTTAATGAAATTATTTTCCAAATTTGAATAAAATGAGTAATATCCGAGATATAATAAAAATTATGATTCATTTATATTTGTGGAATAACTGGCATTTTATTACACTCACATTATGCTCCCAAAATACCAGACAAAAGATCCACTAGAGAACACAGCTGAGAACTAGAAAACAGCACATTCTGTAGCATGATTTTAAATGTTAAGTACTGTAAGTACTTATGAGTTTTCATACAGGCAGGCAAATGTAAAAAAGATTGTTTGACTCTATTGAAGTCTTTTAAGTCTTTCTGAAGCTTGGAAAAATAGAACAGTTAATTAATAACTGTGATATTAAGGACCAAATAAACTTAAAAGCACACAAAATATGCTTTCATTGCTGAGTATATCAGATGGATTATAAATGAAAAAGCCATAGTACTCTAGAGTAATACCAGCTTAACTCAAAGCTTTAAATGTTCATTGTTTTGGGTTTTTTAAAGCAGCCCTTCATTGCAAAAAAGGCAACTTTGATAACATCAGTATTTCTTGTGCTAAAATTTAACTTTTCTTTGATTCCCAAAATGGTACATAGAAAAGAGGCTTTCTGAGGATATTTACTCACTAAAGCATGATGTTTCTCTATTTCACTATGCAAAGGACAACAAGTGTTTATGGGGGGGGGGATGGCTCAGCAGAATAAGCGCTTCCCTGGCAAGCGCAAGGGCCTGAGTTCAATCCCTGGTTCCGCAAAAAAAAAAAAAAAAAAGTTTATGAAAATGAACTAGTGAGGGCTGGGGAGACAGCTGAATGGCGGAATCACCTGTCTGGTAAGCGCTATAGAAAGAAAGAAAAGGGGGCGGGGGAGGGAGAGGGAGGGAATTTATTATGTGGAACTGCAAGAAAGGAAAGAGTGAGGAGAGAAGAGAGGACAGAGGTGTAAACATTACATATTACGTGGGACTCCAAAAGCCTAGCCTGGGATGATGAACCCTTTAGAGATGAATACCCAAACTACAACCCCAACCCCATTTATCACAAGAAGCCAACACTGCAATTAAACCTGAATACTGAGGTTTTAGCTTAGAAAAACCAACTCATACATTAACACACCTGTCTTACAAGAAAAACATATAACACATGTGACACAGGTTCACCTCACAGACCTATGGTTTCATAATTTTCAAACAGTTATATTTAATTATAAAACTGACATGATGCCCAGGATCAGCTCGAGATGAATGGGGGCGTGTATGGAAATGGGCGTAGCATGCCAGAAAACAAGGCCAGTCACGCATCTGTAACTGCAGAGGCTAATGGCATATGGGGATTCACTGTATTATTCTGTTTATACGCTTAAAAACTTCTAAGGGCTGGTGCAACAGCTCAGTGCCATAAGCGCCTGCCTGGTGCAAGCATAAGATCCTGAGTTTGATCCCTGGTAACAAAAATAAAAATAAAAATTTCAATAGTAATACATTTAAAATTAAATATAAAATTTATCACTGTAAACCAATTTTCATTTATTCAAAATAAAAGTCTATTTCATTTTTAAGATTAAAAGTTAAAGGTACCGGGCTGGGGAGATGGCTCAGTGGTCTAAAGCACCTACTTAGAACAAGCTTAGCAAAGCACAGAGACCACGGTTCAATTCCCCAGCACCACATGCCAGCCAGCCCCGCCCCCTGGTGGGCTGAGCTGGTCACACACACACACACACACACAAATTTGAAAAAAAAAAAAGTTAAAGGTACCTAAAATTCAGAATTTATGAAGCAGTATTCTGTTAGGATTATTTTCCCTCGAAAAGAAAGACAACACTAAGTCATTCACACCACAAAGTCGTTAAGATTCTTTCTTATGTACTATTATTTATGAAAAATGTCTGGGTAAGGAGCTGAGAGCTGCAAGCTCTCCCCCTGCCACCCAGTTCTCCACAGAGCTCCCCCCTGGAGGTCACCACCCTGCTGGCCCCTTCTGCCTGTTACTGCCCTCCCCACTAATCATCCTGCAGGCCTGCCCGGCCTGGCCCAAGCCCAAGCTCTGCCTCAGTGTCTGGGAACAAATGTCCAAACTGCTAGTTTTCACCAAAATGTATTTGAGTAGCTATTTAATCACATGTAATTCTAATCTCAATGTTTTAACAGAGAAATAAGAGGAAAGAGATATGCAAACTCAATTTTCCAAACGAAACACCACAAAACATATCACAATGTCTATTTCTTTGTTTTTAAAGACAAGGGCTCTAATTATGCTGCCTAGGTGGGCCCCAGATTTCCTTGGTTTCCAAGGAAAAGTAAAAAATAACACCCACTGAGAAATCAGGTCAAAGAAGCTACTCTGGAGACTACCACCTGTCTAGACCCCCCACAGCTTGCACCATCCCACCTAAAAGACGCAGAGATGCCCATCCTCAGGGTCCACTCTAGCCACCTATGTCACTATCTTCTCAACAGACATGATGGGAAATAGACAAAAAATGTAGATATACAAATATGTACTCTGCTTAGAGTAAAATCTACCAGAATCCTGCTGTCAGTATCTCTTACCACAAAATTCTTACTGATATCGACACAGAATGTGCCACTCCCTTCAACATACATTCTGGTGGGACTCTAAGCGTGTAGACAGAGGGAATATAGTAGCGCTTTTAAAAATAAAAAATCTTGAGACACCTACAAGCACGTAACTAATAATCATATTAACAGCCTTGAAACTACAGTATCATCATAAGGCCAATCAGTGGAGTGTGTGGGGCTACCAGATCCTTGGACAGCAATCCATGAAAGTATTAGATTCCAGCAAAGGACTTTATTCTCCTGAAGGCCTTGGGAAAAGCGTAAGTAGATGATCATTGTTTTCTGGGTTTTTAATGTATTTTTAGTACAGGGTTTACAGGGTCTACAGGGTTTTGCTATGTAGCTCAGACTCCTAGTGGTTCTGTTTTCAGCCTCCCAAGCACAGACTGGGATCACAGGTACACGCCACCACATCCAGTCTCTCCCTCTAAGCAAGCCCCAGGGGCGAGGCTGGTACAGCAGGTGAGGGATGAACCCTGGCTGCTTCGTTCTGCCAAAGCAGGCGCTTTAGTCTGCGAGCTATCTGGCCAGCCCTGGCAATCACTGTCTTAAACTCAGTTTGATACTGCAGGAAACAGATGAATAGCAATTTCTAACACATGGAAATTATAGGCAACACTAACAATAAGATCCTTAAGTACCACTGAGGAGGTGCTCAGAAACAGCAAGTGAACAAGAGAACAGCAGGAAAGAGGTATGTTAGTCTGCCAAGCATATCAAGTCCATGAACAATTCAAAAGTTACTGTAACTCCCCTTGAATATTTGAATTACAACCAGAAAGTTTTCATTTCAATGGAGGACAGAGAATTTGAATGATTATTTTAAGGGCAAAGCTATACTAAAGATTAAGAAAATAAAATTGCATAATCATGAAGTAAAAATTTCAAATGTATGGTGAAGAATAAAATTGTAAGATAGAATTTTAAATATTAGATGAAAAGAACTGTAAAGCCATCATGTCCCCAACTTTCGTTATGCAGTGACTGTCTCTCCATGCTATGCGTCTGCACACGACTCCCTGCAGCGCTGCACTTACCTGCACTTACCTGTAATTCCTCTTTAACTTAAATTAGAAACACAAGAGAGCAATCATCTGAGATTGTGTCACTTCCAAAACTACGAGCTAATCTATCTTAATTCATAAATTATACATACATTGAAATGCAAACTGGCACAAATTATTTATTTACTGTTGTTCATTTTTCAGAGCTCTAAGCTACCGTTCAAATTAACACTTTGTAAATGATAAAGAATTTTATGAATGTTATGATTAGTAAGGTTTTTATATTCAAATTAAATACAAACTTAAGGCATCATAAATCATCTAGAGAAATAAAAACTTGAACTTTATGTCAATGCTTAGCACAGCATCTTTCTCCAGGTAGTTATTGTTTGAATACAGGATGGCTACTTTTATCTCTGCTAAAAATCTCTGCTAGTGTTTAGGAAACATTCTGCCTTATTATTTACTATTCAGTTAATGACTAATGTTCACTACATTTACTTTTTAGCTAATAAATAGTTAATTATGTAGATTATCTTTTAGCAAATCTTAAATCAAGTTACTTTCAAATATTTAAAATAATATCTACCACTTAAATATGCTTCATTACTCTAAGACTTTATATTAAAACATACTATTTTCAGAAATAATTTAAAAAACAATAAAAAGGGGCCCATAAACATTGACTAAACATTTACTGTACAAGCTGAACTGCTTTGACAGACAGTGTCAACAACACACTGTAGACTGGAAGCAATTCCAACAGTCTTCAGGTTGCCCAAGCGTCCTTTTCAGGAAAAGACTGCATCAGAGCACTGCTTTCCGAGCAAGCGGCTACTGTAGAACGCCAAGTTCCACGACAAATCGCTCCGCTGCAATGTTTCACTTCTCCCCCACTATGCCCCGATGACTTATAAAGGGAGATTTAATACTGTATTATTCAGGCACTGCAATTTCCTTTCAAATCTTTCAAATTCAGATCTCTTAATTAAAACTCATTTACTGAGCCTGGCATGATGGCCTATACCTATAAACTCAGCACTCACGAAGCTGAGGCAGGAGACACTGTGAGTAGTCACCCTCAGCTATGTTAAGTTCAAGGCCAGCTTGAACTGTGTTGTGAGACCCTATCTCAAAAAACAAAATCAAAAAAAAAAAAAAAAACCACTGAAAATTATCAATCGCTTATCAAAAAAAAAAAAAAATTTCTATAGTCAACAAAAGGAATATAATAGCTGCTTTGGAACACTTTAATTTTATATATTTAAAACAGGTTAAGATGAAACAAGGATCAACAAAGTATAAAAGATTCTAAGATTTAACTTATCCTATCATCAAAATTATTCCAAGAAGTTTAAAGCACTAGATAGATCATAAAAAATGAACTAAAACCTAATGCCTCATCATGAATAACATCTGTATATTCAAAACTACAATTGTGAGATTGTCAAATAAATTCTATACTTAAATTAATGTGTCCTAATTCAAGTACAATATAAAAATGTTTTTCTCAAAAAACAATTACTTATTGATTACCTTTGATACGTTCTAGAAGAGTTCCAGAAGACACTGAAACCCACAATGGTAAAATTTCATGTTTAAATATAAAACAAAACACACCCTTCTCGAGCCCTGTGTGGAGAACACTTCAATGCACCAGCACACTTTGTTTTTAGAGGCTAACCTGATGACAACCAAAATGGCACTCATTTTCACCATGACTTAATTACACGCTGAAAGCAAGAGAGCACAGACGCGCTCCAACTTAGCGCTGAGAAACCAGGAACATGGGAAGACATCTACAAAACAATGTGATCACAGAAGTAAGAAGGCTGACCTCTCTTGTCTCATATTTAAAGAAAATCTAATTTCCCAAGAACAGCAGATCTGCTAACTTTTCTACCTGAGTACGTCATTACTCTCGCTAGTGTCCCCAGCTCCTGTCAGTTATTCTACCTGACAAAAATTCAGTTGATTTTTCCATCGTATTAAAATGAACTAGGAACTCTCAAAGACACAGTCAGTGATACAAAAAGACAGACACAGAGTAGAATCTCAGCTGTCTAAATTCTTTCCAGGTATAAATACAGAAAGTTAATTTGTTCACTATTAATTGAGAAGCAGCATTCTATCCTAGGAAACTTAGTTTCTACCAGTGACGACAAAATGCCCCAAAGGGGACTAAATGTACTGTGAAAAAGTACATTCAACAGGCTCACTGAAGGGGAGGGTAGGCTTGACAAACCAGGAAATACTTACCTGGTGATTTTTGTCTTCTTTTTTTAGTGCTGGGCATTAAACCCTGGGCCTCACACACACTAGACAAATGTTCTACCTGAGCTACACTCCCAGCCTTGTCTGATGAATTTTAAGAATGGGTTCAAGAATCAATTTCCAAAATACGGTTTGGGAATTTTAGACATGTCTTTGACATGCTTTAGCATTTCAGCCTGTTCTCAACACCTTGCATTATGCCCTCACCAGTTTTCGGTGCGATTTATCTGGAACCAGTCCCAGAACTCCTGAGGAGTTCATATTACTAAACTACTTATCTGTTGCATTGGATAAAGTTGTCCTACTAGAAAAATAAGACTATCATTCTAAGAAATCAGTGTATCTAGAATATCAACACCTCTACACTGTTAATGAGTGTTTTAATGTTGTAAAACTAGAATTGTCAAAGTTTTTGAATTGTACCATTTCTGTAACTTGCCATTTTTAAGTGACTAAATTATATGCTTCCAGTCTGAAAGAATAAGTATTTCTGCCTCTTCAGTGTACCAGTTGTATAACCTTAACAGACTCAGTTTCTCTAACGCAGGATTCCCTTAGCATTAACATAGATAATAACAGATGTTACCTCACATTACTGTGACCATTAAATGAACTAATATGTGCTATGTGAAACAGCTCCAGGGGCCCAGTAACTGTTACCCTAATTTGTTATCACGAGCGCTGGGTACTCTTATTGAAGGACCTCTTCTGTACACAAATAGTTCTGCACTTGGGAGCAGAAACATTTCAAGCTGCAGCAGACATACTACTCTCCGGCCGGCCGCAGTTAATGAGCTCTCTGTCAGAGGCCCAGGACCAAAACAGCAGCTTACTTGCCTGACTTGGTGAGGCAACTTGTAACTTTGTTTAGTGATTTGCAATGAAACATAATTTTCTATCTCCTAGAAAGTAAGAGTACTTGTTCATGCTTTACAGTCTTTAACTTAAATAAAATTCTACACTTGAAACTTTGAAAAGTTATTTTAGTATTCAGTAAAATAACAAAGTTATTCTGAAACTACAGCTAATTCTTTACAAAAATGGTGGTATAGATCTGAGAACCATTAAATTTCCCAAGTTATTTTACTCTAAATTTTCAGTGTATGATTTTCCAGTTAAATGTTGCATGCCAACTAAGAACAAGAAGCGAAAGAAATGTTTATATAGTTAGTTCTTTTTTTTTTTTTTTTTAACCAGGGAAGTTATGAACTGCGAAAGATACAACAACTGGTTGGGTTGGTCCATTAGACCTAATTACTTTTATATGGTTAAGTCATACTGTGCATAATATGAATAAGACATAGTAAAATATCACTTAAAATATTTAAAAAGAATTTAAGTGTGACTCCAATTTCCGTCCTATATGGTTCTGCTTCTGACAATGTATAGACATCACATGTGTGCTATGATCTGAGCTACTACTGGTCAATTACCAGGTATGACCCTGGGACAGATTTCAAAAACATCTCTAATACATTCTTAAAAAATAAAAATAAAAGCCTGGCCCTGGGACAGTTATCTCGTCTTAGCAACAACACCAGGCTGTTTCCACAGTCACCAGTAGTGTGACTAGGGACAGGGTGTGGGTGGGATAAGGCCACAGTTAAATGTTAGTCAAGTGGTACATGCCAATTAAGAATAAGTAGTGAAAATTACATTTAGCTCTTTTTTTGTGTGGGTTAAAATACACAATCCACAATTTTTTGAGAATAAATATCTGTTTTTTTAATGTTATCAAGGTTAAAGGTCTAAAAATGAAAGTAAAATAATTTCAAATATCAGGAATCTAAAAAGCCAAACAGAAATTATAAAAATTATTAGAACTGCTAACATTTCTCAAACTATTCCTCACTGTTAAAGGCATTACCTGCAGTGCCTGCCTGGCAAGCATGAGGTCCTGAGTTCAATTCCCAGTGCCCCAAAATACAAAACAAAACAAAAAAAAATGCATTACCGTTAATGTTGTCACAGTAGTAAAAGTATTCATCATTTAGAGAAGGACAAGCCGAAACCAAATCCTGCAGGCCTGCACCAGTTACAGTAAGACAACCAGAGAGATTAAGGTGCTCCAAATAAGGCAGCCCTCCTCCCAGAGTCAAAACCCTATAAGAGAAACAATGTGAGAATTAGAATATATTAGTCTATGAAAAATTTTATATTCCTATGGCCTACTGGGACACAATTTTACATAACAAAAACACGTAAGACTTTCTCTAAACACTTAGAATTGACCTTATCCTGAAGCAGAAATACATTTAACAGAAACAGCTAAATTTTTCCGAAAGACAGGCAATAAGGAAGTCTATAAAAGTTTCTTTTAGAAGAACATTACAGTAAGTCAATACTTACAGGAAAAAAGTACTGAACCTGAGGCTATAATGTTAATTACCGTACCAATTGTTCAAGTTAAAATTATCAAGACTATTACTGAAGTTTTAAACCTATGCCCCATTTTGTAGTTTCTCAAAAACTGATAGCAGATGACTTAGCAATTCCTTTTCTATGTATACCTGAAAGTTTGAAATCAATGGTTTACACAAAAATTTGTACATGAATGCTCATAGCATTATTCATAATAGTTAAAAAAAAAAAACAAACCCTAAATTTCCATTAAGTAATGCATAAACTGGGCCAGTGAGACAGCTCAGTGGACTAAGCACCTGCTTAGGCAAGCAAAGGGACCAGGGTTCAAGCTCTGGCACCACATGCTGTGCTGGCCCTGGCCCAGGAGCTTTGAGCTGGCCCCTGAGACCAGTCATGGTGACACGTGCTTATAATCCCAGTGCTGGGGAGGCTGAAAACAGGAAGACCTCTATGAGCCTGAGCTGTGTAGTGAGACCCTGTACCAAATGCATAAAAAGAAAGAAGGCATAAACCAAATGTGCTACATCCATACAAGTGAGCACCATGCACCTCCAAAGTACAGATTCTACACCATGCATGACCCTTGAAGACATACTAAGCCAAAACAGGCAGATACAAAGCAAGCGAGCTATGCAGTAGTACATGACTCCAGTAACACTATTACCTTAGAATAGCTAAACCCAAGAAGCAGAAGGTAGGTTAGTGGCTGCTAGCGGCTGGGGATACGAGAGAATGGGGAGTGACTGTTAATAAGTATATGACTGGAGCCGGGGAGATGGCTTAGTGGAATAAGAGCTTCCCTGGCAAGCGCAAGAACCTGAGTTCAATCCCTGGTTCCGCAAAAAAAAAAAAAAAATAAGTATATGACTTCTTCTGGGGATAAGGAAAATACTTTTGAATTAGACAACGATGATGAGTGGAAAATCATGTAAATATTCTAACGCCACAGAACTGTACACTAAAAATGTGGTAAATGTTATGGCACATAAATTAAATTTTCATTCAAGAAGAAATAATAGAGTGTACCCTAGGAGAATAAAACGGTATTCACACACATAAGGCGAAGTGACAGGGTGGGCTCAGGCGCCACTCTGGTTCTTGAGAGCCTGTGCTCAGGATAGAGCTGCTATGAGTAGCTGCTCTGTGCTCTGAAACTCAACTTTTCTGCAGATGCTTGTGAACAGTGGCAGACCTGACATCCAGAGAAATTCCCTTACCTTAAACTCCCCACTGTGGGAAGACAGGAACCCCAAGACCCAGGCAGCAAGGACCCTAACTACCTACACTGCCGTTGCTGCTACCACAATCCCCCTCTCAGGACACTGGCGCTGCGGGTGCTGCACATCACGCACCAGCCACAGCACAGAACGTGAGAAGCAGAGCCACCACGCCACCCCAGATGGCAGAGCGAGACCCCTCTGTGGGGAAAAGTCTTTCCTTGTGAAAAGCCACCTGAGTAAATCTTGGAAGAGGGGACTGTACACAGATGTATAGAAATTATCACAAGGACACAAGAAAGATGAAAAAGCAAGGAACTAGGACATCACCAAAGGAGCACAAAGATCAACAGACTCCAAAGAAAACTTATAAAATGCCTAAAAAGAAATTTAATATAGTAATCCTAGGAAACTTAACAAAGTAAGAGAATTAAGACAGACAAGTCAATGAAATCTGGAAAACAACTAGTCCGAATGACAAATTCAACAGCTATTGTATAAACAACCACCAAAGAAAACTTTTGGAGTTGAAGAATTCAATGAATAAAAGTCACTCAGGCAGTACGTCTGTTTGTGTACTACCCAGAGCGTCACTCAGGCAGGTGTGATTTCCCTCAGTTGATTCTCGTTTGCATGAGATATACTCATACTTTCCATTTTTATATTTCCTATTATAGTCTTAAAAAAATATGCAATTTTTGTTCATCCTCTATTTAATAAACTGAACTGACAAGTGGTTAAAGATAGGGTATTTTTAATTACTCAGTCAGAAGAAAAAACAATGCGAAAATATAGCCTATGGAATCTAGTGAAAAAATTTTCATGTTATAAGAAGTACAAAAGGGCTGAAAGTTTCACAAAGTAATTGCTAAAAAGTTCCAAAGCCTTGGAACAGATATGGACATCTAGGACCATGAAACTCAGATCCTTTGTTCTATTCTTTTTAATTAAAATTCAGTGGTAAAGGGAAACATATGCAATGTATACAGCTTTATAAATCAGTCTATCTCTAGTATAAAGGTTAAAGCCCCAATCAAAAAAGTAATGAGCCAGGCATAGCAGCACATGCCCACAGTCCCAGCGCATGGTGGGGAGAGGAAGATGACTGCTAGGCTGAGACCAGCCTGGGCTGCCTGTCTCGAACATCAGTAATTGCTCTAAATAGTTGTTAAGAAATACACAAGGAGCTCAGTAGCATAAGCACCTGCCCGGCAAATGCAAAGTCCTAAATTCAATCCCGGGTACAAAAAAACCCCACACACACGAGGAGCTAGGCATCGTGGTGTACCCCTGTAATCCCAGCACTTGGGAGGAGGAGGCAGGCAGATCACTGCCAAGTCTGAGGTCAGACTACATTTAAGGCCAGTCTGAACTACAAAGCAAGATCCTGTCTCAAAAAAAAAAAAAAAAGAAAGAAAGAAATGCATGAGGTAGTACAATTTTACATCACAAATACAACTTGCTAGATAGACTATCCAAGTCCAGAGGTTCTATAGGCAACTGAAGTTGTCATCAGTACAAAGGTCTACTATAGCTTCCCAATGTTTTACATAAGCTTCACGGCAACTACAAAGTAACTACAGCAAATACACAAATAATAAAAAGGACCAAACTTCCATTACCAAATAATGAACACAATGCACAGAAAAAAAGAACAAAGATCTATAAAATAACTAAAACAAAATAGCAACACTGAGTTTTCCCAGCTAAACAACTGCCAACTGACTGGAGAGGTGCCTGAATCACAGGGGCTCTGTACACATCAGCAGACTGACCCACTGATGCTCGTGGCCGCGTGGGCTGTAGGAAGTGGGCCGGGGGAGGAGGGAGCTGTTGGTGCTTCCCCCCATGCTCTGCATCCAGCTCCCATGAGGGGAGCAGCTTCTGTCCACCATGCCATTCCATTACGTGGTTGTGTGTTAAGTCACCCAACTATTAAGTGAACCCATTAAAACTGAGTATCAACTAAACCACTTGTTATGCTTTGCGACTTGTTGTCCCTCCCAAACCCTCATGCAGTCATGGGCCAGCTTCTAGAATTCATGATTAATTCAGGATCCAATGCTGGGATTATGGGTGTGTGTGCTACTCCCATCCTGGGGTGGATAACCTGAATACAATATAAGGCAGGCAGGAAGGCAGCTGCCAAGGCCACTTCTCCTCCCTTTGCTCTTTGCTGTTTTCTGCCTCCATGACAGCTGCCCCCTGTCATGTGCCACTCTGCCTTGGAGCCAGCTGAGTGCAGACTGAAAGCTCCACTAACTACCCTTCCTTAATTTTGGATGTCAGGTATTTTATCTCAGCAACAAGAGAAAAGTAACTAACCAAGATGCTGCTCCTCTTTTAAACTGAAAGGTCATTTTGTACTATGAATAGGAAAACTGGGGGCTGGTGAGATGGCTCAGTGGTCTAAGGCACCTACTTGGAACAAGCTTAGCAAAGCACAGGGACCTGGTTCAATCCCCCAGCACCACATGCCAGCCAGCCCCGCCCCCTGGTGGGCTGAGCTGGCCACACACACACACACACACACACACACACAAATAAATAAAAATAGGAAAACTATACATATATTTATACCCATTCACAGTTATACTGCATATAAACAGATTAAATTCTCTAATCAAAAGACAAAATGACTGACTGGATTAAAAAACAAGACCTGCCTATGTATATGCTAGCTACTGAGAGATTCTCACTGACCTTAATGTGAGGCATAGGTTGAAAGAAAACAGATGGAAAAAGATATTCCACACAAATGGTAACCAAGGAGACCGGGAATGGCTACACTTACATCAGTTAAAATAGGCTTCAAGTGAAAGAGACAAAGAAGGTCAGTATTTAAACACAAAAATAAAATAAATATACATGTACCCAATAATGAATTTTGTAGCCAATATAGAATTTTACAGAATTAGTTTTGGTACATTTTGCCTCAAAACATGTTTTAAATTTTCTTTTTAGTTGCTACTTTGGTTTTTGAGGAACATATTTAATTTACACATACCTGTGAACTTTTCAAAATTCCTATTGTTAATTTCTAGTTTAAGGGCCACCCAAATAGCTCAGTGGATTAGAGCACCTACAAGCAGGTGCAGGGGCCAGGGGTTTGATCCCTGGGCCTACTGTGCCAGCCCCAGCCCCCCACCCCGGCCCCAGCCTCTTCTCTCCCGGGTGCACTGAGATGGCGATTGGGACTGGGCGTGGTGGTGCACGCCTGTAATCCCAGCTCTTGGGAGGCTGTAAACAGGCAGATAATTACAAGTCTGATCTAGCAGGGAGACCCTGAACACCTGTAGACCCTTCCCTAAAATACAGGAAAAAAGAAAAAAATCTAGTTTTTCTTTTCTATAAAAGAAACAAAACAAATATTAATGGATATGAAGTTGAAGAAAAAGAGCAACACGATAGTAACGAAGAGCTTCAACACTCTATTTTCAACAATGAACAGGTAAACCAGAGAAAAAAATTAGTAAGAAAGTACAAGAACTGAATGGATAGCATGTCAATATTGTTTCTAAC